CTGCCTACGTGCCTGCTAAACCTCTTTAAGCCGAGATACTATCCTTTCAAATCAAGCTGACTTAGTGGAGTCAAGTCACTTCTGCTCTTAGCTGCTCACCTCCTGCAGTTTCCTTCAGTTAGATGGGACGCCTTCCAGGACAACAACTGTTCTTCTCTTGGTCCCCGAACCCTGTGTGCAGAGGGTCTTGTGGGCTAGGATATAGTGGCCTATAGGGGAGATAGGTTTTTTGAAAGGATCTTATGTCTCTTAGGAGCATTTCTCTCATTGTTTTCCTTAGCTTTCCTCTTTATGTCTTTAATCCATGGGACCTGTCTCATTCCATTTCCTTGTGCCTAGTTACAGTGCCATCTTGGCTGTATTTCCAGATCTCCCCACCCCAGGAACCAAAAGACCCAACTCATTTCCCATCTGTACTGCTTCTCTGATCTTCCGTAGCTCCAAAACACAATGGAGGCTTCTTCTCACTCAGCTCTTTCCGGGTTTGTTCTGCAGCTGTGGAGTTTGAATGTTAGTGTTTAAACAAGCTGGTATTGCACAGGAAATGGCCACCTCCACAGGCCCCTACAGGCTTGTAACATGGGGTCATTGTACTTGATATTAATCACCACTCAGCCTGTTCCCCCAGTAAAAATATGAAGGGGTGTGTGAGTGTTCCATCCTTCTTAGGCTTGCCAGGAAGATGGACTGAGCCTTGGTTGGGCCTTTGCACTCCACTCTTTTCAAACTGACTCCCTCCCACAGCCCCGCCCCGGTTGGAGCGTGCAGAAAAGTCCTACCTGACCTCTTCCCTATAAAGCTGGCAGTTCTTCCTTTCGGAGCTGTAGGCAAGGAGCTGGAGTGTTGTGATAGAGCGTGCCTCATAGGTCTCACCGCTTAATCTTTCAGAGCATGTGGTAGTTGGATGACATCTCATAGGAGAACACGCCTAAGGTTTTAGAAACTTGGAAACCCGCTCCAGCCCACCCGAGTAAGAGTGGTGCTTCTCAGTGTCCTGGACTGAGCTGTTTTCCTAATGTTGTTTGCAGAACTAACCCCAGCCTGAAGGGTTAATCTGATTCCCCAAGTCAATATCCCCGCAAATAACTGGCCAAGAGTGTGTGTTGGTTCATTTCTGTGAAATGTGTTCCCCCAGTCACCTGGGCTGGCCTGGGCTGCATTGTATCGGCCAGCAGCTGCACTACACTCAAACTGACAGCTACATTAAACCTTGGAATTCTGAGGCAATAAAAAGTAAATTAACTCTTATTTTTTTCCTTTCCTGGTGGAGTAAGTGAATGCATGTCTGTGGGGAAGTGAGCGAGCCTTGGTTCTGAATGTATACCTCTAACTAGCCACTGCTGGTCTGTCCCAAGCTAGGATCTGGCTTTCAGTCCCCAGCCAGGAGTCTGCTTTCCTGGTGTGTGGTGTGTTCTGTGGGGTTGGGCCAGTGGGTCACCCAGCAACTGCTGATCCCTGTTCACTAATCACATTGCAGCTGCTGAGAGGCTCCCCTGCCACCACTGTGGGAGCATAAACAGGCCCCCAGGACACAGTTTCATCGTCTCTGGCTGCTCGGTGTCTGCTCGATGAAGAAAGCACCTTGACTTTTAGTGGGGTTTTTGTAGGCTCTGGAAGTTTCCTCCAATACGAGCTGGGACCAGAACAAGCCAGAGGGACTTGTCAAAGAACCATAGCTGCCCCAGAGGGTCCATTTAGAACCAAAGGTGGCTTGCATTGTCTAGAAAACTGTGGGGAATCATTTCCCAAGCATTTCTAGAAGATTGGGACCTGTTTTAAAACCCTTTGTAGCTCTCAAATTTGACTCTGGGCTCCTCAGGGCCAGGCCAACCTTGAGTGCTGTGCACTGACTGCTGTGCGGTAATGGTTGGAAAGTGCTCCTAGGTGGATAAGGAACTAAAGCAGGAAAAAGCTAAGCTTTTTCCCCCTCTCCTCAGACAGGAAACGGTATGTTCACCCACAGAACTGACCTCCCAGTCCAGGGCCCCTGATTGGGGTAAGCAGAGATGTTGCTACCCAGGTGCCAGAAGTGACCTTATTATCCTCTTGTAGTTATCTTTGAGTTCAGGCAGCACACCTACATTTTCAAAGTACATCTTTTTCCCAGTACTAGTTTCCTGATATCCCCCACTCCCTCACCCCATGGAGAGAGTCACATTATGGCCCTGGGGTACCTATTTGGTTGCGTTTGTTTCTGTGATGTTCACTGAGCTAGGAGATAGATAACTGATCATGGAATGTGAGCTAAGTGTGGACAGTCACATTCACATACCCCAGGAGGGAGCAGCTTCTCAATCAGTTCAAATAGGAAGACTCTTCAGAATGTGACAAGGCAGAGATGACCTTTCATTGGTCACTTGCAAAAACCACCAAGTGACCCTTGGACAACTTTACACCTCTGAGCTGGGAACCCAGTGTACTTTTATGTCTTTTAGCACTAACTGCTGTGTCTAACAAATCAAAATTGGGATAGGAACTCCCATTCATCTCATTTTTTTTAAATTGCGTCTCAAGGTTTTGGCACAAGGTGGGTGGTAATGGGCAAAAGGCAAATGTGGACAGGGGTCTCTAGTGATGGCCAGCAGTCTCTGGGGGGAGTCAGTTTGGTTTATCTGAGCCTTAGGGGACAGAAGAGGAATATAGTAATGAGAACCACATGGCACCACATATTTCTTCATCCTGGATCCAAGATGGTAGAGGTGGGAGGATGAGAGAGGCATGTGAGGCCTCCCACTGTGGCAGCAGCCGTGGGTAATTTTCTACCGCCTCTCCCCGGCTGGGGCTGCTGCTGCCCACCCCCTACCCTTAACACAGCCTGCAGCAACCTTGACCTGCACAGCACCAACCAGGGCCCCCAAGCCCAGAACTCAGCTGGGAGACTTTTCACCTCCTTCCTTCTCACTGTCGTCTTTCCTGTTTATTTTCTAAATTGCTGCTCTGCAGCAGAGCAGTGCCTGTTGGCCAAAGCTCACCAGCGCTGTGGGATCAGACTCCGGCAGTGGGCTCGAGTGGCCAGCAGGGCACCGGGGGAGGAAGCGGGGAGCTGGAAGAACCTCCCTGTGCGTCTCCCATGGGCAGCGCTAACCTCGGAGGCGGCCCTGAGCAGCCCTATCACATCCGGTGCTTGTCTCTGCAGCCGGGACCGGAGGATAAACTATCAGAGCTGTGGGGCAGTGCATCATTCCTCTTATTATTTTCTTCTCTGCAGATGGGGTCGTGGAAAGTTCAGTTCCTTTTAACCCTCGAAGTTCTGTTTATTCTACAGCTGGTAGCCTGAATGCAGCGTTTCCCATTACATCACAAAGGAGCTCAGGCAGATCTCTGCACAGAAACGTGTTGCAACTGTTTATTTTTTTCCATATTTAAACATTTCTGACAGCCAAACCAGCTGAGCCAAAAGATGGAGCTTTGTGAATGAGACTGGTTGTGGGTGTCTGTGCAGAGTGGCTTTAGAAAACTTTCATCCCTCCGGTGTTTCTTCCCAAACATGTTCCTTTTCCTGGGCTAAGCCTGTGAAGCGAGTGACTTCTGCAGGACACGTGTGTTGATTATGTGCCGTTGTGTGATTAATGGAGCTGCGTTCCGCCTGGTTCCCAGGACACTCTTGAAAACAAGATGTTTCATTTTATTGCCTTTTCCTAGAGCTGTGATTACAGTAAATAAACCAGTGCAGCCTCCTTCCACCTGGACCCAGTCAAGGGGCTCCTGTACCTCTCCCCCACTTCCTCCTCCAGCATCCCCTTTGGTGTCCTATCCCCTGGATGCCATCATTAACACCATCTCCCAAGGGTTTCTGATCTTTAGGGCTGAGGACCCTCCTTAGCAGAGAGGGCTCAAACCCAGTAACCCAGTCCCCGGGGAACTCCAGGAGGTGGCTTTTTCTTAGAGCTCTCTGCTTCTTGCCACTCCACCTCTTGAACTTAATTGGGAAGCTTTTACTTGTAATTATCCTGTGCATCTGACTCCTTCTGAAGTAGAACCTAACATCCACAGGGTACTGCTGCCTGTTGCAGACTTCCTGCTTAGATCGTCTCTGGAAAACAGTGTCAAGTTTTGGCAGGACCACCGAGCTGACCAAGTTTGACTATTGGAGCTGTGCCCTGGGCAGCAAAAAGCAAGCTATATGGAACCATAACATTCACAAAGCTGTGATCTGTATCACAGCAGATTTTTGACAAATGTTGGAGACAGAGAAGTGAAGTTTCTTATTATGTAATTCGACCAGGGAGTTTGAACTGGGGAGAGGCAGCTTTTGCATTTTCCAGATTTCTGTTCCGGTTCAAGCAAGACCTGGTGATGTACAGTCAGGGTGACCAGCCATCCCAGTTTGCCCAGGACTCAGAGGTTTCTGGCAATGTGGAGCTGTCAGTGTGAAAACTGGGGCAGCCCCAGTGGAAGCAGAGCAGTTGGTCGCCCAGTTTTCTAACCAATCCACGGTGAAGGAGAGGAGACACTAGTTCATTTGCTGAACTGCACAGGGGGCTTTACCTTTCTGGGGAGAGTTTTGGCACACTAGGGAGGGTTGAGATTTGGGGGTTGCAGGGAAGGATTGTTTGTTTTTCTGCCTTTCTGTATGGGGAGGGCAGCAGGGGAAGGTGGGGTGGCAACATCACTCTTTTTGCAGTGTGCCTGAATGCTCTGTAGCTGGGCTGGAGGGAGAGATTGGCACCCTTGATGTCTGTGTGGCATATACTTGGCTGCACAGGGGTAGGGGATTCTGCGAGCTGCCTCAGGCACTGGGCGTCAGGAGTGTTTAAGTGTCCCAGGCACACTGTCTGGAGAGGTGACAGGGCCTGCATTAGGCAACTGATTCTCTAAATTCTTTTCCCTCTTGGTTCCCTTAATTAATTTCAACCTCATATAGATGGGCACACGGACCAGATTGCTTCCACGGGCACAATTTTGGATCGTAGCTCTTTGGTAAGATTTCCTGACAGATGCCAGCCCTAGACAGTATTGACTGTTTCCTCTTTGCTCTTGTCTCCTCTTCTTCCTCACAGGGTGGCTGTGGACGTGTGGTCGACCCTGGCTGATTTCTGTAACATACTGACTGCAGTGAATCAGTCTGAGGTACCACTGTACAAGGACCCGGATGATGACCTCAGCCTTCTTATTCTGGAGGAGGATCGACTGCTCTCGGGCTTTGTCCCCTTGCTGGCTGCCCCTCAGGACCCCTGCTACGTGGAGAAAACCTCGGATAAGGTCAGCCCCGGGCCAAACATCCCGTCCCATTCACCCCTCCTCTTAATTCTCCAGACTTTTTTTATTCTTGGGAAGTTTTCTGTGCAAACGGAACATGATTAAGTCATTGAGAAGGGTGTTAAGGGAAAATATCGACCTTTTAGCCGCTGACATCCAGCTCTGTGTCCTGAAAAAAAAAAAAAAAAACCCTCTCGACTTCCTTTGGTGTGTGTGTGTGTGTGCTTGCTGGCATGTTGTATATACGATCATTTCCTCACTTGTTTAAATAGTGCAGCTTGTGTTGGCAGTGCTCTCAGTCAGCTCCAAATGGTTTGCATCATGCTTAAAGCACCCTCGTTCCTCCCC